ACAGTTTCTACACGGAGACATTAAAGTTTTAAAACCTGCTACCTAGCGACTTAACAACTGTCATATCTGAGAAAAAAACATCCGACCATTCCTTTAGTGATACCTTTAATCTGACGTTTTCAATACAGTCTAAGAAATATCAACACTGAAAGAGATTTAAGTGACCGAAAGGGCGCTGATAATTAACTTGACTTGACCACTGTAATTCGACATTCCGATTATAATTCGAATACTTCCCGAAGTAATCGAATTACACCGATTATTTTTCATTCGAATTATCTGTAACCACATGTTCTTGAATTGTTGATATATCATTTAGTTTTCGTGATATTGTTATGTAAGTGCAACAACAAGTGTTAGTGACGATTTTTGAAATATGTGATTTTCTAGAACAAGGGTCGGCAACTGGCGGACCGCGGTCCAGATCCGGACCGCGGAAGGTAAAATACTGGACCGCCAAAAATTTTTTGAAAATATAAATTATCCAAATAAATTAATTAAAAAAAAATGTTTTACGTTTGAGTGGCACCCTTATCATTTTTTCTAGTATTTTACAATTATAACTGATTTGCGTTTTTAATGCAAATGAAAAAAAAATTAGTAAGAAATATGAATTTTTTTCTGGACCTCGTTAAATAATTTCAAAAGTATCCGGACCCCATCTAAAATTACTTGCCGACCCCTGTTCTAGAACAACGCTACAACGTAAAATTTTTCGTGAAACTGGGGAAAACTCTCACGGGAACTTTTCAACTTTTGAAACATACTTACAGAGATGATGCTATGGATCGTACGCAATGTTACGAATGGTTTTCACGATAAAAGTGATCGTTAGTCAATGGGAAGATGATCCTCGACTAGGAAGGACTTCGACTTCAACTGGTGATTCTCACATTTAGAAAGTCAAAGATCTGGTGCGTATAAATCGCCGATTGACTATCAGAGACATTGCAGAAGATTCATGGCATAACACAATTGAGATGCTAATCTCAATTTTGTCATGCCATGAAATTTTGACTGAAAAATTGGACATACATCGATTTGCAGCAAAATTTGTTCCACGTTCCTCAAGACAACAGTTCAATCATCACAATGGAGTGGCAAAGGATACTACGGTCCAAGAAAGCAAGTCAGTCTCGATCCAGTGTCAAAATGACTGTTTTTATTACTTTAATGGAATTGTGAATTTTGAATTCTTGCCTCAAGATGAAACAGTAAATGTTGTGTACTGTCAAGGCGATTTACAACGGTTATATGAAAAAATCCGCAAAAAGTGACCAGAGTTGTGGGTAGACTAGACAACTCATGGCTCTTGAACCATGACAATGCGCTCGCACCATGACAATGCGCTCGCACACTCAGCTTTGTCAATTCGTTAGTTTGTGATAAAAATCAGATTACTGTCCTCCCTCGCGGTCCTTTCTCGCCAGACGTGGCACTTTGCGAGGGGAGTACTTTGAAGGAGTCAAGGACCAATAATGTATAAAATTAATAATAAAGTTAGGTTATTTCTGAACAGACCTCGTATCTACTCTCAAGAATTTGTAATGAAAGAAATAACTTGGTGTTTTATTTATTTATTTATATCAAACAGCTTTTCAGTGGGACGTAATATGAGTGTATATATAGGGTGTCCGCAAATTTCACGACGATAAATAAATACAATCTAAAAAAAAGTTAAATAAAAACTTTTTGGTTTTTGAATAACAGGCCTTCAAAGTTGTCAAAAATAAAACTAATCGAATAAATAACTTCATAACCCTTTTACCGATTGCGTTAAAATTTGGCACATTTACTTGGACTACTATGGCGTATAATTTCTTAAAGCTTTAATCAAATCGATATAGTGGGTGATAGTTTTCTCCGGTTACCTCTTCCTTTTAGCGGTCAAAACTTTTACAGTGGTCGTATTTTTTTAAAACGGCCAGCAACATTGAAAATGTCGTTTTGTTTAAACAAAATATTGTCTTCTGAGAAAATCGACTACAGAAAGCCATTTTTGAGAAAAATGGCATTATTTGCAGGTCTGTGCGTTTTCGTTTGAGTAGCATTGTCACGGATTTAAAACTTTGAGTTCAGTAGGCGATGAAACAAGATGTTTAGCTATGGCTATCAGGTAATATCCTTATTGTCTTCTTTCTTTAGGATTCTCATCACTCCATACATGCAAATTATAAAGTGTTCGCAGTGTATTAAGACAATTAAATGTATGTAAACTAATATTCACCAGGGATGGGCGGGTAGACAATGTCGACGTAGACAATGCAATTGTCTACGCGTAGACAATGATTTAGATGAAGACTTAATTTGGAAGAGTCGACAATGTAGACAATGTCGACAATGTCAACAATTAAAAAACTCTCAAAACTAGAAAAAGGTGTGGTAGGTATGTACCTCAAAAAAAGAGTTTCGTAAGGCTGTAACTCGTGATTCTTGCAAAAAAAGAAAAATTGAAAATTTGAAATTTGAAAAGTACCTACCTATCAGTATCACAACCATCTATAAAAAAATGTATAAACCGAGTACAAAAGATCAAACAATATCTGCCGAGAATTCACGAGAAAAAAAAAGTGTCTCGCTTGATGCTCCTCGATAGTTTTAGGTCAGGTCAGATTGACCAAAATTTTTTTTTTGCTATAAAATCTCTAAATAAAGATAATGTCGCATATATTCTTTAATGAAAATTTTATCATTTTTAAAGTCAGCAACAATTTGGAATATTTGATTAAGTTTTAAGAACACTTTGTGTAGATATTTTAGTTTAGTTAGAACACGTTAATTTTATTTTTTCTAAAGGTGTTAGAGTTACAGAATTTAATAAAAAAAAATTTTATTAAATATTTCTACTAATTTATAATATAGGTACCCTTTCAAAATAATTTTTGTTTCAATCCTAGATCATATTATGTAAATATATAAGATCTAAGATTTTAATACAAATCATATAGAGCTGAGCTTTTCAATAAACGATAAATGGTAACATATTTCTGTAAATATTTGCAGAGGCACAAGATAATGTTTTTTATTGCATTTTCTCAAACTAAATATTATGTGTATTTATTGATATATGTACCTCTATACATATACGAGTATTATATAATATATTCCCTAGTTTTCACTTAATGAGGTCACGAATGGAGACTAAAATTTTAAAATTAAATAAACTGTTTTTTACTGACTGTCATAATTTATATATTTATATAATTTTTTTTATAATAATTTTTGTTTTAAAAAATATAAAAAAATATATATTAAGTATACAAAAATGAAAGTTTTCACTTTCATTTCGATTGAAAGAAAATACCCCATTATAAAAATACATAATTAAATTAAATTAAACTTTATTCTTTAAAATTGTTTAACAAGTGTATAATAACATAATCATCAACATTATTGGTAGTTAAAAAAGTAACGAGAAATAAATAATGTATTCAAAACTTAAAAAAAATAGGTTGCAGTCAGAAGATTGGTTGAAGGTTTAATTTATAGAACATTTTGTATTATTTAATTGTCAAGCTTTCAAGTCTTTTAACTTGAGATTAAATTATAAAACTGTGAAATTTTAACCAATTTAAAAATTATTCTAAAATTAACACATAATTGTCAAGAATGTCAAGTCACCATAAATTGTCAAATGTTTGTATAAAAGAATTGATTTACTTAGCAGGACTGAATAATATTAAGCGTTAGCTACCAAGAAAATTTTAATTCAGACACAGTGTATTCTTTAAGCAAACCCTCAACCAACTTTCTGACTTCAACCCTAAATTAACTTGATATTTTTTTGGTCAATTTCTATGTCTATGTTCTATGTTTACGTCCGCTCATTTTATGTTTATGTAAAAACAGCCAAACAGAAAAAGTTGAGTGATGAATTGAGTACAGCACAAAATAGATCATACGTAAATGTAACGCAAATATAATATAGGTAGATTAAACTGAAATTAGAGCGCAAACTCCGCTTTGTCTACATTGTCTACATAGTCTACGTTGTTTACATAGTATACGCGAAGTCTACACGTAGACGTCGACAATTAAAGTCGACGCGTAAACGCACATCCCTGATATTCACAAAACTTTAAACACGCAACTTCTTGGGCCATTTCATTCAACTCTTTCTCAAGAACTTGAAAATTTAGATTCCTGCGCATGTATACAGTTTTGCCGTTGTTTGGTAAACGGCTTCGCAAAAGATAATAATTTGCATCAAAAGTTGTTTTGTATCGACGAATCTTGGTTTATAAGGAACGTGATCGGTAAAAGGGTTATGAAGTTATTAATTAATAGTAATTTATTGTATAAGTGTCTTAAGTAGCAATTAAAACACGAAACACGAATGCAATACGTTTTATCCATAATCACATCATGATCACATTTGTTTAGTCAGAATTATTGGAATTTAATAAAAAAATATTTGCACGACGTGATATTTCTTACTAGTACTATGGAAATGTCTATTACTATAAATGTAAATGTTATTATTATAGGTTTATAATTTTTTCATTGGTATTCTACTAGTGAAATAAAGTTACTTTATTTCACTATTGGAAAAAATATCACTTTAGACGGTTCATATATGTGGATAAAAGTCCGATTATAAGGTGATTGTGGATAAATTAGTTTTATTTTTGACAACTTTGAAGGCTTGTAACACAAAAACCAACATTTGTTTATTGAACTTATTTTAGTAGATCGAATTTATCTTCGTGAATATACAGCCAAACGTTGTCGGTGAAATTTGCGGACATCCTGTATGTCTAATGGAATGGTTTTGCACCGAGTACTGTGAAATCAAACGCACCTTTAGAAATGTATGGAACCTTTCAGTAAAGGTATTCTTATAACTCCATTTGGTTTGCTTTCTTTTAGTAGTTACGCGGACGGTAATAAGTCATACTAGTACTTGTCATTGATATTTTATTTTTAAATACTGTACATACATATGTTAACATAATTATACAATGGCACATTATTTATATAAAAATATTATGAGCATGTCTTTTAACACTAAAAGAAAATATAAATTAGAGGAAGACTTAAAACATTAAAAACAATTTTACATTAGTTATAGCAATATGAATCAGGTTTTGTACAAAATTAATTTTTAAAATACGTATTTATGATACAGCTGTAAACAGAACAGTGGATACATCCTTATATAAGTAGGTACTTACGCTTTATCATTTTAAACAGTATCAAAAAAAATTTCGATGCTACGTTATTCATAATCATAACTAAATCATAAAACAGTCAGTTAATAATAGTTACTACTTGTTTTAGAGCAAATGTCTTTCTACAACCAGTTTTGGAAAAGTATGTCTGGAAATATACATTATTTTGTGCTTTGCAGGTTATACATATATCCAATTTATGAAAAACGCTCATAATTTCAGATAAATTAACTCATAAAATTATTAGTCTAATATACGTACTCATTCAATGAAAATTAATTTTTTACTTCAATATTGAAACAATATCCTACATATTCACATAACAAGCAGGTCAAATTTTACTTAAAAATAAAGTGATTACACTAAACGCTACTATTTTTACAATCACATGTTTATACATTAAATGATATGTGATTTATACAACTGGATAGTGTAAATTATGTTCATATAATATTAATAATGGCAGAAAGGAATTGACTAATAATATGAACTTATACATAAATTATCACATAAAAGATATAAGTGGAAGATAGCCAATTCCTTATTGTAGTTTTCATTTTTACATTATTATTTAATGTGATAATTACTAAGTATATCAATTACTGGACGAACAATTTTTTTCCAAAATGAACATATTCGATACACTAAGAAAATCTTAAAAAATATTATGACTAGATAAAAGTAGTGAAACATATGAATACAGTGAAAGTCAACACATCAGTCTTTCTATTCATCTAGGGTTATTACTTATAACATAAGTCTGTAACATTATTTAAAGTTCAACTATAATCTACAAAATATATATCTTATTCAACTCAGCAAAATTCCTAATGTATCGATGTATTCCTATTTTCACTATAGGAATAACATATTTTATGAATGTCAAATTAATGAAATATTTAAGTATTTCCATTTTTTTCTTAGTTAAACCTACATTTATTCCATTAATTATCACTTACAGTCTTCTTCTTCAAATCCTTTCATTGTCCAAGCTCCATTTTTTGGAACGGGAAATATGTAATAGAACCGTGTAATAGGTTGGTAACAAAATAATAATTTGTTTCTGGTCTTTAAATTCTGTACCTCACCATGTTCACTTTATGTTTGTGGATGCAGATTGCAGACAGACCTAAATCAGAAATTTTGGCTTGATCAAAATATTATGCATAATATTCTGAACAATTGTCTTGCAGGAATTTGTCGCTGTTGTGAAATTTAAGGGTAGCTGCTTTGTCCTGACGTTGACATATTATTCTCTTCTTCAGATATCAATTGTTCTGTTAATGAAACAGTATTATTAGTATTTTTTAACCAGATAAATTTTCCAAATATGGATATTTATACAATACTATTATAATAATTCATTTTCATAACAGTCTCACAGAACAGTAATGTTAGGAACAAAAGAGCATTAGTATTACATAAACATACCACATTAGTAGCAATAGTATTACACAGAGATTTGCATAAAATCGGAACGGTTTAGAAGCTTTGGAATGAACCAGAACCAGTTGCATACCGGGGTTAGAATTAGGTTAGGTTAAGGTGACTCAAATTATAAAAAAGTTGCGTAATATTCAACAACAATCGTAACACGAAACAAAATATCATTCAAATGTTATTTATAGTAAATTATTTGTTAAAAATTGTCATTTTAAAAATTTGTAAGTAGGTACACTTAAGATGCGATAATCCCTTCTTTTTTTCTTGCGGATTGCATATATTGGTTTTTTTATATATGGTTAAAGGACAAAAAAGTTATTAATTCCACGATTAGTAACATTTTTATGGAATTTCATGTTCAACGACTACATTATTACATTTCAATTTTATTTTACACTTAGCTCATAATAGATTGATGCTCAATATGTCAACATTTTATTTCGTCCTTCATATAGTATCAATGGATTTGTATTTTTCTGTTTTTCATTATTTGGTCATAACCAAATAGAATGAAGAAACATAAGAAAGATAATGTTGACAATTGCATATCAAAATACAATGGAGAAAGGAAATCGGATTGTAATCATAGAGGTGTCATATGCTTGGAAACTGAATATCATTAAACCATCTTTATAAATAGAAAAATCCAGTTTTTTCATTATATAAATTTATATTTCTACATCTAATTTCAGGAAAAGTGTAAACAAAATTCTGCACAACTTTTTTTGTAATTTGCGTCACTCCATATAGTCCAATTAAATGGGCCTTTAAGTCGCAGTTTGGTGAACTTGCCTGAATTATTTTTGATGTAAGATAGCTTGAGATAAGTATATAATAACAATAAGCAACAGTAATTTTTTTTTCAACCCCTGGCCAGGGATTTTTCAAGATTACTCAAAAAGGATAAGAGCTAGAAAAAAGATTTCTTATAAAAGTTGTAGAGCATAAAATTCTACAAAAAAATGACATTTGACTTTTACTTGTACTAATAAAATTAACAGTTAGGGTGGCTAGAAATTAAGGAATGATTTCAGAAATTTAAGAAAATCATAACAAGCAGAAAAATGAATTAATTTTATAATTTTGTTTTCAATCTACTTTAAAAAATGTAAACTTTCTTTTCAGAGAAATAGATATATTTTTTAAATCTTAATAAAAAAGTTTTAATAATTTCAATTATTTAATTGTTAATTTTTATGATTTAACACTAAAACAATTTTTTTCTATGCCATTCCATTTCATTAAAATAATGAAAAATTACTTTCAAAATTTAAAAAGATAAAAAACCATGTTCGCTATGTGAAATCGTTTAACTTTTTTATTAAAAATTAAAAAATATGTCTATTTCCTTGAAAAGATAGTAGAGATTGAATATATACCTATATAAAATTCATTAATTTTTTTGCTTGTTATGATTTTTTAAATTTCTGAAATCAACCCTTAACTTCTAGTCTCCATAACTCTGTTAATTTTAATAGTCAATAGACCATTTTTATGTAGAATTTTCTGCTCTACAACTTTTATACTACCTCTTTTAAGTTATCTTGAAATATCCCTTATTTTATCTTTTTTCACCCCTGGCCGGGGATTGAAAAAAAAATTACTGTCACTTATTGTTATATATCTCAAACTAACTTATAGCAACAATTCAGGCAAGTTTACCAAAATTGCGATTTAAAGGCCCATTTAATAATTGGACTAGTATCCATAACAGTCTTCAATATAATCTCCCATTAAATAGCTGTATTATGTCCTTTTTTATATTTTTGGTTATTATTCTATATTTTCTTTTCTTTTGTGTTTGTGAGTTAAGAATATTTTTCTTACAATTTGATTCGTATGGCCATATAAATTGTGGTATCAGTTTTTTTTCCATTTCAAAAACTTTTTTTGTTCCACCGTCTTTTCTTTTCAAGATCCATACAAACTATTGCTTTTATAAATTTTGCCAGAATCTCCAAACTGAAATTTTTTTCGATAATCTACAACTAGCCCGATTTGATTAGTTATTAATACAAGGCGTTCAGATGCAAGCTTAGTATATTTTAGGCAACAATACTTTGAGGTTAGGTTTTCAGGTTCCCTAGTGCGATTTTTTGATGTACCTATTTTTTATTCTTCACAAAAAAATTACTCATCCACTAGAGTATCAAAATTGGCTAAAGTTTTATTTTCAAGAAAAATTGCAAAAATTGGAAGGAAGGAAACGTGTTTTTTTTTATAAAATAATTTCAAAAATTAAGTGATCTATTTACAAAAAAAAATCTGTTACGACTGGTATGCAGTAAGTTTTAATAAATAAATATATGCTTTTATAGTTCCGACTTTTTTTAAATAACTAATAAGATATTTATGAGGTAGCATATCGTTGAACTTTTTATTCAAATACAACGGGTAAAAAATGGTTATTATTTAAAGCATACTGTAAAAAATTTAATACACAATTTCAACCAATACAATTCATAACATTGTTATCAGTTCACAACATATTACCAGGCTCTGATCGTGTTGACCCATGGTAAACCTGCTTATGCGGTGTGAAGCTAGTCATAGACGGAGCTCCATTTCTCCATGATAGGCCTGGTGGTCCAACTCTGGCATAAATTGGTTGGCCAGATGGAGAGACTAGATCTGGAGGATTTTCTTGGGATGATTTCCGTTCTTTTTTGACTCTTTTAAGGGTGTGTGTTGGAGCAAAGTAAGAATCAGAATATACTTTTCGGTTGTAATAGCCACCATTCGATGATGGATATAGAGACTCTTCGTCTGCACTTATACCACAGTTGTTCCATACCTAAAAAGAAACATTGATAATTTAAGGAAAAATAAGTAAAAATACTTTTTCTTGTAACACTTATACAACTAGTAATATCAAAAAACAGTTGAATTTTGTGTTATTCATGTGTTTTTGATACAATTAGGTACAACTATATAAATTACACAGGACTTCAAATTCGTAATCAGCGACGCTAAAAACCCGCACTAACAATGTTCAGGTAAAAATATTGATTAGAAAAATGTGTGACTTAAAGGCTTCTTTGTAGGTGGTTTCCAACACTTATATATATATTATGTTATAAGTTATATATATGTATATGTTAAGTTATATTATGTTTTTTTGGTATGTTCGGATTCAGCATAAAAAATACACAAGTTTTATATAAGTAGGTACCTACTCATGTCTCTGGTACAGAACTTACTCTTTTGCGTGGCTGTGTAATTTAATATTCATTACACCATTTGAAATTACTTGTCTATTTCTGCTATACATATTTATGTTACAATTTTGATGGTTCTACAGTGCCCACCCTGATAATTTCAGAAAAATAAAAGAAAAATGTGTATACATATACCAAAGCAATTTTACCTAATTCTTATAAAATTAAATCTAAACTGCATTACCTCCTTTGAAATTCCCGCTACCAAATTTTAAAATTATAATTTAATCATGATATCAGCAGCAACCAACATTACATTCGGGCTGGCCCGTAGCCGTTGAACTAAGCGACGCCGTCCCTTGCCTGTTTATACGTACCTATGACTGAGAGACAGAGAGTAATAGGAAACGTAAGTCATTTACCAACTCAGAATATTTGCTCCACGACGGGCAAACCCGCATATGCCCGTCGAGTGATGTATCGGCTAAGGCCAGCTAAGGTTTTTTGCAAGCGATCGGAAATACACATATTATGTATATTTATTTGCTGTAATTTTGTTCTTTAAATGAATTTTTAAACAGAACAATTTTTCCCTGGAAAGGTATTCCAGAAAACAAATTTTAATAAATGAAATAATAAACCGTTTTATAATAATGTGTAAATCGAGTTAAAAAATAAATATCTACGGTGCCATGTTGAGTATTCTGTGATAATGAAAATTATAATTATTAAGTTTTTTTTTTAACTCGTTACTGTTAAACTGAATTAAGAATGATTGCGGAGAAATTTTCAATGTTTTAATAGATTCGAGTTTGTAAATATGGAAGTGATGTAAATTTTTAGGACTTTTAAAACCAATATTTATTTTTTCTTCAAATAATAAAGAAACTGTGACATAAAAAAACGTTTGTTTCATTTAATACATTTTTTGATTTTCAATCAGATTTTTATTTATTAAATTATAATATGAATATACATAAATTGCCTTACACACCGGGCAAGCCCTTTGGCTTCACTCGTATATTCCTCGAGTACTTACGTATCATCTTGCGATTTGTCATGTCGTTTGTTTATGTTTAACCTGGACAAGATTAGGGTTTCTAGTGGTGGTTTAGGCAAGTTTTTATTTTTTGATAGTTTGGAGTAAAGTAAAATAGCAAGTGAAATTCGCAAATTGGTGAGTGGCAATGTTAATGTATTGTTAATTTTTTAATTAGATAAAAAATTTAGTACGTTGACTTTCGATGATAAATTATTTATTTCAAAATTAAAACCTACTCCTGACATGAAAAATTTAACAAATAAAAACAATTGTGGAAGTAACGGATCATTTAGTAAAAATTGGTACAATAAATATGAGTGATTAACAGGCAGTGAAACTAAAACCAAATTATATTGGTAGAATTGCTTACTATGTAATGAAAAAAGTAAAACACCGTGGAACTATCTAGGATATTCAGATCTGAAACATATTAATGAATCCTTAAAAAAAAAAACAAGAGCGATCGAATTAACATACATATTCATCATTCAAATTTAAATTATAGGAAAAAAAAACACTCAAACTTTTCTTGATTGAGAATATTTTAATACATAATAAAGTCGTGGACGAAAATAGACATTGTAAAGCACTTTATTGATATGATTATTTACTTAGCTATACAAGAATAATATTTAAGGACCATAATGAATCAGATAATTCCATTAATCAAGGCAATTTTCGTGAGCTTGCAAACTTACTTTCAAGGTACGATAATAAATTTAGTGTTTTTAGAAAGTCTAGTTTTTAGCGGCCTTTCAAAAACTATTCAAAATGATTTAATAGAGAGCATCAATGGAGTAGCTAGCATCCGAAGTGATATTTTCTGAAATAAGAAATGCTCTATATTTCGCGGGGCAAGTACCCAAATGAAACAACGGATGTTAAATGCTTATCCCAGATATTAGTAATTTTTAGATATGTTCATTGTGGTAAAGTAGTTGAAAGATTTATGAGATTTTTTTATGTAAGCAAGGGGAAAAAGCTGCGGATCTTTTGTTAATAGAAAATTTTAAAAATTTTGATATAGGAAATAAATTAGTAGGCCAGTAGAGTGCAATTATTCCTATATGATATTAAGTTACATGAGAAAAAATATTTTGCCCGCCCATCTCAAAAAATCACGAGCCGTCATTGCGTATTATTTCTTAAAGCTTTAGCCAAATCGATATACTGAGTGGTAGTTTTCTCCGGTTACATATCCCTTTTAGAGATCAAAACTTTTACAGTGGTCGTATTTTTTTAAACGGGCAGCAACATTGGAAAAGTCGTTTTATTAAAAAAAATTGTGTCTTAAGAAAATTTCCTACAGAAAACCATTATTGAAAAAATGGAATTATTTGCAGGTCTGTATGTTTCGGTTTGCGTAGCAGTGTCACGGATTTAAAACTTTGAGTTCAGTAGGCGAAGAAAACAAAATGTTGATTGCTGTAGCTATCAGTTAATGTCAATATTGTCATTTGCTCTAAGTGACAGCGTATTGTTTTATTTTAGCGTATTTATTTTAGTACTAGAAAGGTAGGCAAATCCGCTGCAAGGACTTGACCTATCTCTCGGGCCTTCGGCCCTCGAGCCCCGCTGCGCGCGGCCTGAGCACCGCTTCGCGGTATATTCTCTGTGAGTTAGTTTAATAATATATAACATTTTTCAAAAAAAATGCGACCCGTCTGCGATTCGAACCTCGGACCTTCGCTTTGCAGTTGCGAGTTTTCAAAATGAGCTACGGTGATCTAACATTGGGTGGAGCCTGCACGGGCTATTTGAAACCTTAGGTCTCCGCGAATGTTAATAGAAAATTGAAAATGTTCAAACCAAATTTTATCGCCAAAGTAGCGTCACTGAAAAATCTGAACCGGTGCTTAACAGCAAAATATCGACCCGCGTGCTTCGAACGGCTGGGAAAACGCTTTACAAGACAAAATTTATTATGTACGACAGAAAAGTAACAATTTTTTTGCCGCGCGCGGGACTCGAACCCGCTGCGATAGTACCGGCTTTGACCCTGGCCCAGCTCAGTCGTCAGGCCTTGACCGCTCGGCTACCCCCACACACGTTAGTTGGTACTAAGAAGAATGCATGGCAACAAAAAAATAACAATTGTTTAATTCGTTCTACTCCAAAGTAACAATAGAAATGTGCGAAAATGAATTTGAAGGAGAAAACCTCCCTTCAGATGTGAAAAAAGGTGCATTAAGGGCCTTGGGGAAACTGTTGCCACAAAAATTGCGGCCGATATATGAAAAAGAATGTGCTTTCAAAAATGGAAAAGCGTAAGGATTAAGAATAGTGTAAGTGAAAAGATTTTCTGGCATATATTTTGGTGAAGTCAAGGAAAGTAAAGCTGTCAAAATGGCCCTATTACTCGATGCTAAAATCAACGTTGCTGGTTGATGAAAATTGTTACATTTCAAAATAAGTAAGTAAGTTCCAACAAATAACGCTTCGTAATGTGAGTTTAGTAAACGGATTGTGTCATGCGATGTTTAAGTGATGCTTCAGTCGACGACTATCAGTTATGAAGGTAACATTTTTATAAATATTTTATTCAATCATTTTAAAAATTTAGCTTTTACATTATAGGTTGTTGCAATAATGGGTTTGTTTGGGGCGTGCCAGTTCGATGAATCAAACAAGTTAGAAACATCTAATGTTAAGGATCGAAAATCGGTCTTAATTATCTCACTTATTGCTCACCAACTCAACTATCGACAAAAAAGTATATCATCCAATCTGTAGGAATAAATAGTTTGTATAATAGTCCTAAGAAAATTGCGATATTTTTCATGTTACAGAAATGTGTACCGGCCATTGTTTCCGTCAGTCTGCAGCCATAGTTTTGGCAAATTTTGGGGCTGACCTGATACCAGTCAAGCGTATAGAGATATGAAAGTCATATTTAGTGACTGAAGCTTCTACAGAAGACTCAGTAGTGTGAAAGGTTGAAGTATCTTCAAATTTAAATCTAATTGATTTATATGCTTACCATTCTTTTACTTCCAGCAACAAGAGTTGTTGTTGCGTATGGAGCAGGTGAAGTGGAACCACTATCCTTGCTACACATGTTCGTATCAACCTCAGCATAGTCAGCTATTTGAGAAGTTCTGTTTGAATCCGGTCCTAGGTTGGGGCTGGCATAATCTTGCACTTGCATGTTGGAATAATCTTTATAGCTTCTTCCGCTTATTGGGTAACACTTTTCCGAACTGTACTCCAATTTGTCTGGACGACTAAATTCACTTTGATGCAATGGATTTGAATGTAAATTCACACTGCCATGATGCAGAAAACCATTGCATTGAGATGTTATCCCGTTGCTAGTACATTCTTTCCTATGATAATCATTTGCAGTAAGTTTTGAATAATCTGGTACAGAAGCTGTATAATCTGGCAGACTTTCTTTTTCTAGCCATAAAGGAGTTTCATGTTTAGAAGCCATTGGAGTTGTTAAAACACCTCCATTAGAACGGCTGGGCGTCATTGTTTTCTTCGATAACAATTGTCTTCTTCGAACTAAAAACATTGCTCCAAAAAGAAAGACCATTACAGAAACCATACTAATCAGGAGTGCCATGAACCATGTTTCTGTTATAAACTCGCCTGATTGCATGTCTGCCCCAACTGGCCTAAAATATAATTAATTATGACAATAATTATAACAATGTAGAGAAAATAGTAACAAACCTCTGATTATTATCATCAGTTGGTCTAGTTGCTGGGTCAAGCCTTAATGTTGCAGGAGCACTGAATGGCCCTAATCCTATTCTAGTTGTCGCAGCTACTCTCACAAAATATGAAATTCCAGAGGACAGATTTCCTAAGAGTAAACTCGGCGTTTTACCAACACTAATTATTTCAGAAGAACTAGTTCCATTACTTTTAATTTCAACCTTGTACCCTTGAAGTTCTCCGTTTAAAGAAACTGTAGGTGGTGCTTTCCATTTTAAGTATACCGTGGTTGAATTGAGCAATAGGGCTTCCATGTTAGAAGGAGGTTCAGTTGGAACTACAATTTATGAAAACTTAATAAATGCATAATAGAGTACAGAAAATACTTACCATCCTCAAGGGTTTTTATTGTCTTGGAATTGGAAGGTTGCCCTTCAACAGTCTTGAAAAAAGGCACAAGGAAAAATTCATATTTAGACCACTTCGTTAGGTTATTCACAGTAAAACTTGAGGAACCACCAGTGTGCAATACAGTCAGCATACTGTAAGTTTTTGGTAGTTCAGGTGCACCATTAAGGCAAATGTAGTAAATGTACAATCCTTCAACATAAGTAGAATCTGACACAAGCCAAATTAGTTTAATGGATGTAGAAGTCACTGGTATTGCTTCAGAAAGTTTCACAATATCATTTGTGGTCACCAAATTGGCTCTAGCTTCACTCAATACAGTTACTTCTGGGTTACCCCAGTTTTGAGTGGAATCAGGTCCAACAATAACAGGTTCTGACAATTGCGACGGTGGTCCTAAGCCATGCGCATTTTCTGCACGTACCAGAAAAGTGTATGGCACATCAGGAGACAATAGATGTTGGGTATACGTTGGGCCTTGGATTCGACGAGCTACAACGGTCCAGGTTGGTGTAACACCCTCTTCCCTGCCAAACAGTTCAATTTGATAACCTAATAGGCTTGAAGAACCAATTTTATTATTTTGTCCCCAAGCTATGGTGACACTGCCTTCTGACTGATTTAAAGCGTGTGGTCTACTCGGCGGCCCTGGTAGCATAATTGGTTCTGGAGCTTTGAAGAAATTTATATTGGGATTTTTTGGGTTTTCGACTAGTAAATGTCCTGTCCATGTAGCTTTGCCACCACGCGACGAAGCTACACAGGTATAAGCGCCCGAATCTTCCTTTTGTAATTTGGAAATTTCTACTCTACCAGGGTTAGTCATATTAATACGTGACGTAGATGCAACAGGTACTCCTTCTTTGTACCAGGAAATAACAGGTTTCGGGTTACCATTCGCTTCACATGTTAAATATGCCACCGAATCTATTGGCAGCGTTTGATTGCTAGGTCCGCGGATTATAACGGGTGGAGGACGGTCCTCTTTAGATGTAACTGTAAGTCTAGTTCTTGTCGATGCGGAACCAGCTACGTTAATTGCGGAACATATCACCACTGTGCCTGAATTCTGGACTTGGGCATCTTTAAGAATCAATGTGGATTGACCTTCTGAGGATGTGAAGGCCTCGAAGTTGCCAAGAGACGATCCTGCATACACTAATGCCCTGTCGCCCTCAAATGACCAGAAAATAAAAGGCTTCGGATTTCCCGTAACACTGCAGTGAAAACTGACTTCTTGACCAACTTCTACGGTTTGGGCGAGAGGTCTAGTAGTAAATGTAGGTGATGCGTGGACAGTTAACACCGAGGATGCTGAAACAGCTCCAGCAAAGTTATCCGCGTCGCAAGTGTATCGCCCTTGATCGAGTAAAGTTACTTGTTCCAGGCGTAGAGTGCGGTCTTCCAAAACTCTTACTCTTCCTAACGGCATCGTACCACCGGGTGCGGTTCTGCGCCACAGGACATCAGGAACTGGATCACCGCCAACTGCACAAGAAAATTCAACAGTTGATCCTACCAATGCTGTGATGTCTTCAGGAGGACGGACCATAAACGGTTTTACTGAAAAAAAAAACATGATCAAGAAGTGGTAGTTTTGATGCGATAAATATTTGTAGGTTTTAATAGGGAAATACTGTTATCAAACAAAATTTGGAGATTTTAGCAGTTGCCATTCTACAGGTCTGGTCATATTTTTATTATAAAAAAACGCCATAAGAAGTGCGCAAAGCCTGCAGTTCTAAGCTCTCCTTGACTATTGGTTTATTGTCTAAAATAGTTAATGTAAACAATGTGTTTGGAACTTACCATAAACTTTTAAAATGGCAACGGCGGACTCTCTGATACCCGCTGTATTTTTGGCAACACACTGATATCGGCCATCATCAGAGGTTTTAGTGTCAGTTATGGCTAGATTGAACCCATCAACCAACTTTAATCGACCATCAATCGTTAACGTTTGGCCGTCCTTCCGCCATATCACTTGAGGATCAGGTGTGCCTTTTGGTGGAGAACATTCCATGACAATGTCTTCCCCTGCAGCTACTCTAGTACTTTGTGGTTCGAAACGGAACTCATCTCGGAGAACTGAAAATAAAACGAGTTGTTATGAACTTATAATCCAAAATTGCAATATTTGTAAAGTTCTGCAATCTGGTTTGTTTTGAAGAACCACAACATTTTTAATTTTATTACTTAAATTCTTATTTTCTATATCAAGAGATGGACTACAATGAAGGAAAGTAAAATACGACTGAATTAGTACCGATAAGGATACCTACTACTAAATCTGTAATAATTGATCAAGTTTTACATCATATAATTGATAACAAAAATTTAAATATTGTTCCATTAAAAGGTAGTGCTAAAAATTAAATGAGGAGGTAATGTGAAAAATAAATATTTTCCATGACCAAAAAACTGTTCCATCGGTTTTAATTTTGGAGATAGGACAATTTGCTTAAATTTTTAATCGAAAATCCTTGAACTCTCATTTTACTCTGTTGTTACAACCAATCAAAATTTACAATCTATCAAAAAACTTTGGGTATATACTATGTGTGTGCCATTAAAAATATATACCAAAATGGTTATAATATAATATGTACAAATTTCGAGAAAAAAATGTATAGCTTTTTTTAATTAAAATATGTTCATTTGTTTTTATTAGTTTCCTCAGAAATGTAAAAGTTTTTGCATCACTGAGTCACTCATTAAATAGTTATTTGTATTAAAGTTCGATTATAATCTTACAGGGTTGCTTTTCTAGCATAAAGAGAGAATTCATAAAAATTAGGAGTTTATAAAAAATATTTTATTTTCTTTGTATACAAGATGCGTTTTAACAAAAGGGCTATCTGACAATCTTGAGCCTAAAAATATGATGATATGTATGGCCAAATATACCTTAGTCCAAATTATACTTTAGTTTAATCTGAAAAAAGAATCACAAATGTGCAAATATATCGAAATATGTCTGACGTAGATTAATGAAACTTGAGCGAAATAAAGATAAAAATTTACTTACTTTGTTACAATTATATTAACCAATACTGGGTATATTGGGAGATACCATTACTAAGAATCTCAGAATATCGATGTAATTGAGTAAATTTGATAAGTTCTTTTGTTTCGCAATTGTATTTTGTTTTCGATTTTTTTTTTGTTTAAAGTAAACTTCAATCACCCATTTACATAAAACGAAAATAATTCTAAATATATGTTTTCAGTTTTTAAAGGTAATTTTAAAAATGCAATTGTTAAAAACTTGAAAAATTCGGTGGCATAGCTCAACAGTAAAAGAAATATGTTTTGATTTACCTAAATAATACGGTGAAACTAGCGCCCTCTAGAAGCAACGTCAAAATAAGCTTCAAATTCGTAATTCTCACACCAAAAAACCCAACACTACCAATTTTCAAAGTCACGGTATCAAAACTTTCTCAATTATTGAGAAATTTCAGAATAAAATTTAAACCTTGAACATCCTGTATTTCTTAAACCAGCGACATTCGTATAAGACATGATGAGCTCAAACATAATATTTTGGTGTTTAGTATCTCCAGCTTAGTGTTGACCCATTCTTTCTGACACCCTGTACTGTACATGATTTACAAATTCACGACTGTTAAAGACCGTAACTGGATGAAGTTCAATGTAAACAGTTACTGGATGTAGAAACACTAATTGAAAATCTGCCGTTATTAACGAATTGTAACCTGGAATTGGCTTGGTTCACTTTATTTTCTCTATGTGAAATAAGAAAGTATGAGAGATAATGATTGTAAATAATAGATCTTTCATTGTACCTTTTCAACCTTATGATGGAAAAATTCCGCAAATATCAATGTGGACGTATTAGAGCACCCAGATAAGTTAATAAGTTCCTGATTAACCCAATAAAGGGTTTAAAAGGTTTTGATAGCTATGAAATGGTTTTACAGAGTTAATTAGATAAGTGAGTTTTCAGTAGTACGTTCATCTGCATCATGCAGTAATTCGATTTCCGGTGTATTCATAGACAAATAATTTTAAAAACGTTTTTACGTAATCATTGCCCCCATGTTATATAAACTCAATTTTATCCGATGCAATTACCTATTTATGGAAGTTGTCTAGTCTAGCACATATTTGTTTGTGATCCATTTCCTCTTATTAAATGAACTTTAAATGCAATATATACACAATAAAAAATAATAATACCATATAATAGAGTGTAAAAGTATAAAAGCTATTTCAATAGAGTGGAAAGTTCATTTCGAGTTCATTTATTTCGTTAAAGCGAGTTTGGTTAATATACGTATCGATTTAACCATTACAAACCTCGTTCTATATTGCATACACACTTTAGTCGGTCTTTATTTAAGCCTTACAGTTCTACTTTAAGTCTTTTAGTACGTTATGGAGAAGAATGGGCCATTATATTAATTTTTATCATAATAGTTATAATATCCTGAAATAAATCTTTTTCCTTCAGTATTTTACGTCATATATTAAGAAAAATGTTTGTGTATAAACATGTATACGCAAACGCTTTGGTTTTGAGATCCAGGGTATTAAAGTTAAAGGAAAGAATATGTCTTTTTAAGTCATATTATGATGTCATGGATTTTTAAAATAAGAGGGTGTACTAGTGTCAAAATGTAAATTCATTTGTATATACAAGGTGCGTTCCAAAATAAACAGGACTTTTTAAAAATAGGTATTTCTAGTGAGGCATTCATTCATCGAAAAGGTAGATCATTCACTGATATAATGTCAAAATTTCATGACATTTGAACGAATAGAAGCGGAGTTATTGCATCTAGAGTGACAGTATCGGTAGAAAAATGAGCATCGAACAAAGAGCTAATATTAAGTTTTGTTTAAAACAAATTTTTACCGAAACATTTCAATTGATGAACCAAGTTTATGGTGATGGTTGTTTATTCCGTGGCAGTGTTCATGAGTGATATACGCCGTTTAAAGACGTCCATGAGAACATAAATGATGAGCAACGTGTTGGCCAACCGAAATCCGTGATCACCGCAGATTCCATAAAACTGTGCTGAAGACAATGTTGATTAGTTTCATTCATGCGCAATTCTATCTTGGCGTTTTGAATTGGTGCATCGTAATCGTCGTTTTCGACCAGAATATCGCGTAGAAGGAAGCTGGCGTTCGTTGCACGACATCTCATCGATCGATTGAAACTTGTGACCGATTTTTTAACGAAAAATCGCATTTTAACAGTCAACCACCCCCTGTATTCACTTGATTTGACATCGTGCAACTGTTACGTTTTCGAATAAATGCATTTGCCGATGAAAAGAAAGCGTTTTGTGTATTTGTGTCGACATGCTTTTAGATCTTGTAAATTGCTGTGTTGAGTCGGAAGGTGGTATTTTGAATAAAATAAATCAGTTTTGCCAAAAAAACTTTCTGTTTTTCCCATTTTTAAAAAGTTCTGTTTACTTTGGACCGCACCTTGTAGTTGCTGCTAAAGATGTCATAGTCGCAAGTTATTTATGACAACAACAAATAAATAAAACAAGTAAAGGAATGTAGTTTTTTCACAATTTGAAATAAATTATATTTTTTAAGTGATTACAATTATATATGAAGTGGAATTCATCTTTTTGTTTATCCTCTGCATACCAAATGAGAAAACTAAAAATTTTATGTAGAGGATGGACCAATTTCACTACTTTCGATTTGCAACAAAAATAGCGAAAACAACACATTGAAATCTCGATTCCTTTTTTATGATTAACTTTTTTAGTTGGGACACCTTATATATTTTTCGATTTATGAAATCTGCGTAACGTTTCCTTTCAATTAATATATGATACATGATATTTACACACAAAAAAATTGAGGGTATCTTATCACAACAAATTTTTTTTTTGTAATTCAACAGTTTTATAATATAGTTTCAAATACATTAGATACATCAATAGCACATTTAATTGTATCGTAACACAGTTCAGTTGTTTTCACAGCTAAACTTTCGTCGAATTACTGGTAAGTTATAACAGAAACACAATTTTGCGGTTAATAATATTTTTATTTCGCATTATGCCCTTTATTCCAGAACAAGATGCCTTCATAGTAATGGCTTTTCGAAGAGGAATTCGAAATGAAGACGGATCATGGACATACTCTTTACAATCTTGCATTGAACACATTCTTAAATCGGATATTTGCCATTGTCAAATGATTTGAAACCAAACACTGTATTTTCAAAGGATAGTCTACAGGCAGACCAATTGTACTTACAGAAAATGTCATCGATAGTATACAGCAACGAATAAATTGTCCTACAAAGTCCATATTAAAGTTGTTTGCTAAAATAGGTAATTTTGTTTTGTCGTTTATATTTGTTTTGTCGTTCATATTAGGGTTATCAGTTTGAATATGACATAAAACTTTAAAAAACAAATATAGGCATATAGGGCCTATATTTTTATACGAAACTATAAAAGCTGAAAGATATCGAATACTTATTTTAGAGCAGTTTTTAGCAGAGTTACATGGTGATACAAGTAGGTTACTTTCAACAAGCTGGGGCAACAGCACATACTGCAAGAGCAACAAGTCAATTTTTTGAAGAATTTTATGATAATATAATCGACCGATTAGTCAAGGGTTGTGGCCAGCGAAGTCACCTGGTCTAATTCCTTTAGATTATTATTTGTTTGGACATTGAAAAAGACTATTTTCAAAACAGCAATGCACAACATTGAAGAATTAGAAGCAGCAATTATTCTAGAAATTAATAATATAACAGAACAGCAACTGCAAAATGTGTGAAAATATCGCAAGAGAGTAAATTTGTGCATAGCTAGTGAAGGACATCATTTTGAACATAATATATAATGTTTTTATCCCAAATATGGCAATGCAGTTTGCTAATTTATGAATATGAACTTACTTTAGATGACAGCCAAGAGCAATGGGTTGTAAATTAATATAACTTTTTCGTAAAGCGTAATTTATATTTTATCTACAATAAAAAGTAAGTAGGTCTATGTTTGTTTTACTCTGTACTTAGATACAAATAATAAAAATTGCTTTTATACTAAAAATTTGCAATTTATTCATTAACA